CGTACTGATGATACCTTCTTAAATGAAAATGCGTCTACCGGGAGTGGAGTGATCAGAGGTAATATTTATGGGGTGCACTATTATCTAACCGTGTTGCCAGAGGTACACAGACAAAGTCTGCTGGTCCAAGTCTACCGACAGGAGGTCCAAGCTATTGGGACGGAATATTTAATATATCATTCAGAGATAGACACATATGTAACCCACAACTTGTCCCCATTAAAGTCTCCAAATGCGACTACCCGATCCCCGTCATTAATGCCCACTGAGCCCGCATCCAGAAGCGAGTTTTTCGTGAACCGTTTCGGCGAGAACGGCCATATTGATGCGACGGGCGACGAGAGCAGCAATAGGGTCAATGTCAGGTATGCTGGAATGGATAGTAATGGCGGGTGTCTTTGTGCGCTCCAAGACTCGAAGAATGAGCTGGCCATGGTAAATCTAGAGTCACGCCAACCAGCTACTGAGTGTGGCAAAGTTATTCTGCTGATTCTGGGACAAGGGTGTTGCGGCCACGGAGACCCTGAAAAACTTGCTCTTCTGGAGGGGGTAATTGAGAGAACTACACGAGTTTGATGACAAGGCAAACACGCATATTCTACTCACGTGATTCACACAGGCACCGCCTCCCTTTCTTTACCCACTGGCAATATTAATCGGTTCCTCTACATATAAAAGCATGTCTCGTATGTACCAGCAGTGAATTGACCTATCATTTCGCTAAGAGTCTCGGCTCTTCGATCTTGTCTAGCATTTGCTCACTCTTTGAGTCTTTTGGTAGTAATTGCCGACACTCGGAACGTTAACAGCCGTTTGGTTTTGGCGTTTGTTTCTGCTCGCTCCCCAAGTCTTGTGAGTACTTTATCGTTCTTATGATACTATTCGAGGCTCAGGCTCACTGACCCCTCTCGTTGTGTAAATATTGCGATTGTAGTCGTACGCATATTGTGCTGCACACTACACACTTGATGGCTGCACATGCATTATGCCCCACCGTAACAGTTCCGCCAGCATTTTAGGACCACTTCAAATTGACCCTACCAGCATGTGCATTGTGCAACAGGAATGACTTGCTATATGACGACCACTCAGGCTCTGCAATATCAACCAGTCCTTTCTGGCCGTGGCGAGAATCTTTTTATGTTCCTTCAGCTTCTCAACACACCGTGATGAACATGGATACATACTGCTCTCGAATGTGTTCCACACACAACTGCATTTTGATTTCAGGTCGTTCATTTTATATGCGTGCCCTTACAAACCAACGGGAGCGTGATGGATGCCGCCTAGTCGGCTTTCTAGCGCCGTTCATTGTGACGAACCCGAACACAGCCGATGGTCCTCTTTGTTGGGAATGAAATAGGCAACAAACTGAATCATGTGCCCCACTCGGTTTCGTCGAACATCTCTGAGCAAACAAAGTCCGGACACCCTCACGGCATTCACAATGAAAAGACTACTATACTCGATCGATCTCACGATAATAGCGTGGTTGAGTACAGTTGAGTAAACCTAGAGTCAAACCAGTGTACTACTAATTTTGGTCTTGTAGTGCTATGCGATTCGAATCACGCTATGAGTTTCTGATCGGCGGTATTTACGCAGTGAAAGACCACGTCAATGCGATTCGTCACACGTCACGCGCAGATCCCTAGTTGACTTATATAGCAGTGATTAAGGTTAAGGAGAACGTAAGTATACATTAATGATCGATCGATCAATCCGTTCCTCCTCACCACATAACGTGGGAGAGGGGCACCGCTGGCACGCGGCGACGTCAAGTTGTTTGTGAAGTTGTTTGTCCATGTCCGTATTTTATGTGGCACTCTAAGCGCTACTCCAAGTCCATTGACGGTAGACCAGACTAGAACAAATGCATCGCGCTCTACTCATTCCCGAAGTCTTCCTTGAAATATTCGCGCACGTCAATCAAATCCTGAACCCGTCGTCTACTGGTGAAAAGGCACTGGCTCGGAAATCCATTGCAGCGCTTGCAAGGACATGCAAAACCTTTCACGAGCCCGCGATGGATTTGCTGTGGTCTAAAGTAGATCAGGTAGAACCATTGCTAGGCTGCGTGACGAGGCTACATCCGCTGATATATCATAGGGGTTCAAGGGTCAGTATTCAGTAGTTGCGCTCTATTTTTTCATCGGCTAACCGAGCATCCGAAAAGTGGGACAACACTTGGTCAAAGGGCGTCGAACCGTTATCTGCCTACGAGGCCCGGCTTTTTCTGCGTCACTCCGCACGCGTTCGCTCATTGAATGTTCAATCCGATCACTTTTTTCACCTTCTCTCAGTCATCCCCATCGGAAAGTGCGTCTTCCCGAGGTTGCGGTCGTTAACTTGGAAGCTTTCCACTGGCAAATGTTTGAACCTATTCCTGTCCCGCACGCTGCACCGTTGTTTCCTATTCACTATCAATCAAGACCTGAAGAATATTGTGACACGTTGTGCCGCTTTGGAGGACCTATCCATCAAAAAATTAAATTTTGATGCGAGCACAGCGGATGAGCTGTCCCTACTGTCTGATAGTGTCCGTCTATGCAAGCGGCTTGTGACTCTGTCTTGTCCACTGCTCGACTGGGCAGCATGGGAGTACATCTCTAACCTCCCTAACCTAGTCAGGTTAGGAGTCCGTGATGTGCAGATCCGCGGTGCCCCTCCTTGGTCGTTGGAACGCGATGTCGCCTACCCTACGCAATTCCTCAACATCACAGCTCTCTCTTTGCAGGTTTATAGTGCTAGATATATTGTCGCGGTCATGCAACACTCACAATTCTCCTCGCTGACGGAGCTCAAGATCGAAACCGACCTTCTGTCTTCGGAAGAGGCAGAGCAATTCTTTCGTGCACTGTCCAACTGCAAAGCATGCCAAACCTTGCAGCAGCTTGAAATCACCATCATTAGCTTTGGTCCCAGATCTGGACATCAAGGCAGCTCTTTGACAGCCATTCCACATCTCCTTTGCTTCACACAGCTCCAAACCCTTCGGCTTGTTTGCCGGTTTTCCAATATCTACCTCGACGATGGCCTTCTCTTGGAAGCCACGTCAAATTGGTCGCACCTCCGCACTCTGGAAATAGAAGGCTCGTGTCTTCACCCTTCTACCGTTACATTTCGTGGATTATTCATAGCGCTCCGTCTGTGTCCACACCTGCACACCTTGCGAGTGTTGATCGATCCTGCGAACACCGAAATCGGTCCTAACAAAATACAACATACCTCCTTAAAAACAGTGGACTTCGACACCTTATCTCCCATAGCGAATACCGCAGATGTAGCTCGCATCATTTTCAACGCGCTCCCTTACGTCGACCAAGTCAACCGGTTTACGATGCACACGAAGGAGTGGGATGAGGTCAATAGGCATCTCAAATATCTGAAAGCTGCTGTGCTGCATGTCGCAGGGCCCGCTTCGAGTTTATGATGTATTCATATTTGGTAAATATTTTAGAGTTTCCACATTCCACCGTATCCGTTCTTGCATGGTTTGTCGTTGTATCATACTATAGTCGATGTTTACAATGGTTGCAATCGTTTTCTCCTTTCAACCGTTACATTACTACTAGTCCACCACCCGTTGTGCCTTCGGCTGGCCTTGGCTGTATCCTAATATGTCAAGTACACCTCAACCTCACATGATCTATACCTAATTAGGTTGTCATATACCCCCGGGTGTGGCAACCTAATTAGGTAGCACTGCACCAAATACGCACACTGCCAGTAAATCTATAATCTATCTATCTATAAATCTATAAAGTAGGATGCGACGGGTGGGAATCGTCTCGCCAGCTCGCGTGGCTTTCGCATAGATACGCTTAGATACGCTTAGATACGCTTAGATGCGCTTAAGAACGCTTAGCTCGCTTAAACCTCTTTTTGGGAATCTCGCGTGGCTTTCTCGCGTGGCCCGATCACGGGTTTTCGAGCTCCGACTTAATACTGTTGCCCATTTGAGTGCAGCACATGTCAATAAATAATTGATGAAAAATTGAATGAGAGAACAGGGGAATGGGGGAACAGACCAAAAGTGCTCGTTCTGCTCACACCTTTGGCCCATTCCCCCATTCTCCTGTTCTCTCATTCAATTTTTCATCAATTATTTATTGCACATGCTAGGATGCAGCCAAGGCCAGGAAGCCAAAAAGGAGCGCAAAGCGCTCTGTTTGCTTCCTGTGCCAAAGGCATAATGGGTGTGAAGCTAGTCTATAAAGTAGGATGCAATGGGTGGGAATCATCTCTCCAGCTCACATGGCTTTCACATAGATATGCTTAGATGCACTTAGGAACACTTAGGAATGCTTAGGAGCGCTTAGGAGCACTTAGATGCACTTAGACGTGCTTAGACGTGCTTAGGGATGCTTAGATTTGCTTAAGAACACTTAAGAATGCTTAGCTTGCTTAAACCTCTTTTTGGGAATCTCATGTGGCTTTCTCATGTGGCCTGGTCATGGGTTTTCGAGCTCCAACTTAACACTGTTGCCCATTCGAGTGCAGCACATGTCAATTATTTATTGCACATGCTAGGATGCAGCCAAGGCCAGGAAGCCAAAAAGGAGTGCAAAGCACTCTGTTTGCTTCCTGTGCTGAAGGCACAACAGGTGTGAAGCTAGTCTATAAAGTAGGATGCAATGTGTGGGAATCATCTCACCAGCTTGTGTGGCTTTCACATAGGTACACTTAAGGATGGTTAAGAACACTTAGAATCGCTTACCTCGCTTAATGCTTACTTTGGAAATCTCGTGTGGTTTTCTCGTGTGAGCTCACTAAACAGTGAGAAAAAAACTTGCAAATTGAGATTGAGAATTTGAGAGGCTAAATTCCACCAAGTATGAAAATGCTGCCAAACGCGATATAGTGGACAGTAATCTGCACACCTACTGCGCTGTGGGCATAATACAGACAAACAGAGTGGTTTTCTTACTATATGGGAACAGCATCAAGAATAACAAAAGCATATTAGAATTTGGTTACACAATTTGGTAACACAATTGATTACACAAATCACTACACAACTTGGCTGCTGCTTTTGATTAGAATTCTCGAGTTATATTGCCTTCCCTGCAGCCAAGTGTAATAAAGTGCAATACATACATTTTTGTGGGTTTCATTTCTTATCAACAATGATAGAAATTGACTTATAATTAATGAGGTCAGGCAACTCAATTATTATTTGCACTTGCTAAACAACAGTTTGAATAACAAAGATGGATCAAAACATTCCTATACTGTGAGTTGCCAATTATATATTGCTATTGCTATGTGCAAGGTGCATCATGCTAATGCTTGCGCATACTATTTAGACAACAACCACAGATTACGCCAGAACGCAATCGGCAGTCACAATGTGAACATGATAGACTTAACTGACTTCAGATGACCTCACCTACCAGATGTAATCATTGTCACGCTGCCAATAATAATCAGGACAGGCCTCTACCTCCTGCACCACAGCCAAATTTCATGGCAGCTAATGAGCCACAAGCAGGGCCTGTTCCACAACCTTTTGCTTGGCAACCTCCTGGATTTCCATATGGGCCACTGCCAGTTGACCAATATCCCGGCTTGCCACGAAATGCAATTGCACATGTGCTGCATGCTCATTGTCCTCCTGTTAATCATCCTCCAAGTCCTCCTGTTAATTTTGATGTGCTCTTGAATGAGTGAACAAATGCAGCTGGAAATAATAGACTTCACCAGCATAATCTTCACCGGCAGCAAGAGAGACAGGAGATAAGACAGGAGGCATGAGCAGAACTTATGGCAGCTGGGATAGAGCCCCCACATGTACCTCATATTCTGAATGAACCTGTTCAACCTGCACCTCCTGTGCCTCAACAGCAGCAGGAAGCCAAGTTGATGAACAATCCCCTTCATTTTGTGCCTAATCATGTACCACCTTTACATGCACTCCCTGAACCTGCTATGGAGAATGAGCGCATTAGACATGACTTGCTTCAAAGACAAGCACAGGAGGAATTTCATCGATGGCAGATTCAGCTACACTTGCAGCAACAATTGCAGCAGCAGGAGGCTGGCCAACTGCAGATGCAGTGGCAGATGCAGCAGCAATTCCAGCAGCAGGAAGTTGAGTGACTGCAGATACAGCAGCACTTTCTGCAGCAGGAAGCTGAGTGACAGCAAATGCAGCAGCATATGCAACAGCAGATGCAGCAGCAATTCCAGCAGCAGGAAGTTGAGCGACTGTAGATGCAACAACAGTTCCAGCAGCAGGAAGCTGAACAGATCCATAGACAGGATCAAGATGTTCAATGAGCAAGTCAACAGGAAGAGGTGCACCAATAACACCAGGAGCAAAGGGTTCGTGAGCAGGAGGAGTGTCTTGAAGAGGCACTGTGTGAATATAATGATCCAATCTCTCAAGAAAACCATGAACAAGACAAGGAAAGAAGAAGAACTCAGGAACATGAACACCACCTGCAGCAAAAGGAGGAGGAGGAGGAGGAGAAGGAGGAGGATATTAACCAGGCAGTTCCTGTCCCTGATGGAGGTCAACTATACACAGAGCCTATTACCCTTCATACTCTTGGTCCTCTTAATGTAGAGTGCACACACTGCCATGCAATGCACTTTGCATGTGAAAGATTGTCCAACTCCTCTCAATGAAACCCACACTTTGGAATGTGCTGCTTGCAGGGCAAAGTCAACCTTCCACCCTTTCCAGCATGGCCACCCGAGCTGCAGCAGGCATATATGGACCAAACTTTCATCTCAAAAATATGCCAGTATAATAGTGCTCTTGCATTCACATCAGTTGGTGTCAATATTGAGGATTGTGCTCTTCAAGGATCTGGCCCAAATGCTTTTCATATCCATGGATCTCTCCATCACTTCATGGGCAGTCTTATACCCCCAGAAGGCCTTCAGCCTTCATATGCACAACTCTACATCTATGACCCTGAGGAAGCCACAAACATCCGTGCCACCTGTCCTGGAAATGAAGGTCTTGACCATCGCATCCTCAGAGAGCTCTATGATATGCTGTATCAAAGCCATCCCTATGCTCCTTTGTATAAGCAGGCCTATCAAGTCATGTGAGAGAAGCCTCCAGAGCAGCACACTGATGTTTGTGCATGCATCCATTTCCAGCAAGGCACAGATGGTTGAAGATATAATCTTCCCACTGCCAATGAAATTGCTGTGATTATTCCTGGAGATGGATCTGAGGAGGTATCTGACAAATGTGATATTGTCTTGCGACTTCAAGGTGGTCAACTCCAGTGTGTCAGCCAACTCAGTCACACATACTCAACCCTGCATTATGTCCTTCTCTTTCCTTCTGGTAAAGAGGGCTGGCATCTTGACATCCCTCTTAACAATCAGGGTGGATGTCAATGAGCAAAAAAAGTCACCCAGTTGCTCTATTATGCCTATCACCTTCACCCTCGCCTGGTTCACATGGACCATAATAACATCTTTTGTGGCGGATGACTGTTCCAGCAGTATGTGGTTGATGCTTGGGCCTCTATAGAGCAGAGCAATTTGAACTGGATCAGGAACAACCAAAAGCAGCTGAGGGCAGACTGCTACCGAGGCTTAACAGATAATGTCCTTGATGATGGTGTGAATGATCTAGCTCAGACAGGTCGCTCCATTATTCTTCCCTTCTCTCATACTGGGAGCCCTTGGTGCATGCACCAGCTGCTTCAAGATTCCTTGGCCATTTGCTGTGCCTGCAAGAAGCCTGATCTTTTCCTAACAATGACTGCCAATGGGAGTTGGCCTGAAATCACTGAGAATCTCCTTCCAGGTAATAATTCATATTTGATGCACTGTTTATGACTTCAGCCTGACAACTTCTTATATAGGTCAGAGTGCTGTGGACCGTCTGGACTTGGTGGCTTGTGTATTCTATCAGAAGCAGCAGGCTCTGTTGAAGAAGGTTTGTAAAGGCTACTATGGAAAGGTTGCAGGTTTGGTGTACACTATCAAATATCAAAAATGCGGTCTGCCCCATATGCACCTTCTCATCTTCCTGGAGCAAGAGGATAAGATACACACTGCAGAACAAATCAATTCCTTCATCTCCACTCAAATTCCTGACAGAAATGTCCATCCATAACTCTATGAGGCTGTGGAAAAATATATGTTGCATGGCCCTTGCAACCTGCAATGTTGCTTGGAGAATGGATAGTGCAAGAAACACTTTCCAAAGTCATTCTGTCCCCAGACCTTGATGAAGGATGATGGTTATCCAGAGTATGCAAGACCCGACAATGGTCATACCATCCAAAAGAATGACAACATCTTCACCAACAAAGATGTTGTTCCCCACCCCCCAGAACTCCTGGTGCAATTCAACTGCCACATCAATCTGGAAGTCTGCACCTCTATCAAATCTGTCAAATATATTCACAAGTACATCTACAAAGGAAATGACCATGCTACTTTGGAGATGAGAGGAGCAGTGGATGAGGTCAAATCATATCTCGACTCCAGGTATATCAGCTCAACTGAGGCTGCATGGTGCATCTTTGAATTTTCAATGCATCTTGAATGGCCCTCTGTCTACTGCTTTCCAGTCCACCTCCCAGATGAACATATGGTGTTCTATGATCCTGAGGATGATGCCCATGATGTTCTTGAGCATGCAGCAGCCAAAGAGACTTACCTCACTGGATGGTTCAAAGCCAATGCCAATGAGAACTTTGTGGCAGCTGGAGCCCATGACCACCTCTATCAGGACTTTCCCTCAAAATTTGTCTGGACCAAAAATGCATGGAAGATATGCCAGTGTGGAATGGCCATTGGAAGGATGTACGCTGCTGCACCCAGCTCTGGAGAGCACTTCTACATGAGATTACTTTTGACTGTAGTGAAAGGTATGATGTCCATGACAATTGTTATTGATCTAACTCACCATTTTTTAAGGGGCTACCTCCTATGAGCATCTTCAGACATTTGATGGGGTTGTCTATGAGACTTTCAAGGAAGCATGTCAGCACAGAGGTCTGCTTGATGATAATAATGAATGGATCCAGTGCTTGCAGGATGCATCTCATATGTGCACTGGACATTGCATGTGCAATCTCTTTGCCATCATCCTCATTCATTGCAATCCCACAAGCCCTGATGACTTTTGGAACTGCTTCAAGGAAAATCTCTGTGATGATCTACACCACCACCTCACCCATGTTCCATTCAGCATACCTGACCCTACAGAGGAGGAGGTCCATGACTATGGTCTCTATCTCATTGATGGTGTGCTTCACAAAAATGGGTGGTCTTTGGAAGCAATCCCTCACATGCCTGTTTCTCAAATGGCAGCAAGATGGGGGGCCATGGAGGGCAATCAGCTCATTGCTGAGCAGCTTCAGTATAATCCACAGGAACTTCAGCAGATAGTAGATGTAGGAGTCCCTTTGCTCAATATTGAGCAGAGGGTGGTCTTTGATGCTGTGGTACATGATGCAATGCATTGCAATGAGGAAAGACCTGGACATGCATACTTTGTCCACAGTGCAGGTGGATGTGGCAAGACATATCTCTGCAAGCTCATTGCTTCAAAACTCCATGCTGAAGGCAAGATTGTCCTTTGTGTGGCCTCCTCTGGAATCGCTTCCCTCCTCCTACTAGGCAGACGTACAGCTCATTCATGATTCAAAGTTCCCATCCCCATTCATGAGGACAGCTCATGCAACATAAAGAAAGGAGATGTTGTCCATGAGCTTCTCAAGGCCACCTCTCTCATCATCTGTGATGAAATTCCTATGCTTCACCGCCATATTCTGGAATGCCTTGACCGCACATTACACGATCTTCTGAATGTTGATGCTGATTTTGGAGGAATAACAATACTCTTTGGAGGAGACTTCAGACAGACCCTGCTGGTGGTGCCTCATGGATCCAGGGAGCAGATAGTGGGTGCCACATTTTGCAGATCTTGCATCTGGCCAAACCTTTGCATCTTCCATCTCAAGAGAAATATGTGGCTTGGTCAAGATCCTGCCTCTGATGAATTTGCAAAGTGGCTCCTTGAGATTGGAGCTGGCAAGGGCACAGATGGAGATGGAACCATGACCCTCCCTATTCACATGCGCTGTGCCAACAATGATGTCCAATCTCTCATTGATGTCCTATACTCTCCAGTTCTGCACCCTGGCCATCCTCCCATGAATGACTCCTTCTTCCTGGAATGTACCATCCTCTCCATAAAGAACACTGATGTGGATGAAATCAACACCACCATTCTTGAATCATTCCCTGGAGATAAAGCAGTCTTTACCAGTGCAGACTCGGTCACTGAGAGGGACTATGACTACATTCCCATAGAGTTCCTCCACACCCTCACCCCATCAGGCTTCCCATTGCACAAGTTGGAGGTCAAAGCAGGTGTTCCTCTGATGCTCTTGCACAACTTAAACCCCTCTGAAGGCCTCTATAATGGAACACATATGATCCTCCTGTCTTGGACCACACATGTCCTCAAGTGTTGCATTCTTAGGGATGGTGTTGATGAAGCTCACCAAAAT